AAGGAAAGAACTGTCTCCTGTAAGTGGTACTTTCACCTCGAGATCCCTCTCTCCCCCTCTCTCTACACGCACACACACACACACACCCACACCCACCCACCCACACACACCCCGCACTTTGGTGAATTTACGAAGCAGTCATGTGGAAAGAGAAAAGATTGGATTAATGTAAAAAAAGGTGTCCTCAAATAAATACAAATCCCTTCTGAGTTTGAACCAGCGAACTTTTATTTGACTTCACTCTAGCCTGGCTGGGCTGGCCTGGATCTCGGAGAGATCTGCTTTCTCTGCCTCCCGAGTGCTGCGTTTAAAGGCCTGTGCCAGCATACCCAGCTCATGAACTGAAACTTCGAAAAAATAGAAGTACCTCTATATTTTATGGAATGTTTAGTTGATTCAGTAGCATAAAGTTGCGCTTTAAAAAAAAAAGTACTTTTGTGCTTTAGAAAATACTTTGAAAAAGGTTAATCTGGAATTCTTGTGGTTTCTTATGATTTATGTACAGTCTACTTATGTACTCAGACTTTCAGAGTTTTTTTGGCATACAACTTTTTTTTTTTTTTTGGGTCTTTTTGAGACAGGGTCTCCCTGTAGCCCAAGCTGTCCTGAAACTCACTATGTAGACCAGGCTGGCCTTGAACTCACAGAGATCTGCCTGCCTCTGCCTCCCAAGTGCTGGGACTACAGGTGTGCACCACCATGCCTGGCTCAAGCATACAACTTTTTAGTACACTATACACTATATGTGTGAGTGTAGTGAGGCTAGAATATTCTTTTAAATATTTCATGTGCATGAAAATATTTCATGTGTATTGCCTGCATGTGTATAAGTGCACCCCTGTCGTGCAATGCTGGCGGAGGACAGAAGAGGCTGTGGGATCCCCTGGAACTGTAGTTATGGACAGTTGTTAGCTGCCATGTGGGTGCTGGGATTTGAATCCAGGTCTTCTGCATGAACACTCAGTATTCTTAACCTCTGAGCCATCTCTCTAGCCCTGGTTTTTAAGTTCTTATTTTATGTGTATGTGTATGTACCTGAGTGTATGTATGTGCATCATTTACATGCAGGTATCCACAGAGGCCAGAAGAGAATGTCAAATCCCCTGGAACAGAGTACAGATGGTTGTGAGCTGCTGTATGGGTGCTGGGAACTGAACTTGGGTCCTCTGCAAGAGCTGAGTAGCAAGCACTCTTACCCCTGAGCCGTCTGTGCAAACCCCATACTCTTTCTTTTTGAATAAAATGTTTATGATTGCGTGTGCTGACGCTTCTTTAAACTGTTTTTATTGGATTAACGAATTAATAGTTTCAGCTTTGTTTACAGAATATTTTATGTACTTTAAGTGCTGTCTTTTTTGGGGGTGGGAATTTGTGAAGCTCAGGCAGGCCTTGCTGGGTAGCTCATGCAGGCCTTAAACTCATGATCATTCTGCCTCTGCCTCCCAAGTGCTAGGATTGTAGGTGTGTGCCACCATACAGACTTAATGCCTTCAGTCTTAAGACTGGTTGTGAAGTATATATTTAAAGTTTGCATGATGAATGTATGTGTAAAAATGTGTGTGTGGTGTGATATTATGAAACATCAATGAATTTAGATTGTAAATTTAAATTTAGTATCTTAAAGATAAGACACTTTTGGGCTGGAGAGATGACTTGGACTTTGGAAGCACTGACTGCTCTTCCAGAGGACCCAGATTCGAATCCCAGCACCTACACGACAGCTAACAATTCCAGAGGACCTGACGTTCTCTTCTGGCCTTTGCAGATATTGCATGACACAGATGCACTTACATACATGCAGGCGCTCATACATATAAAGAAAAAGAAACCTTTGTATTTATATATAGTTCTGGGGACACTGATTAAATTTAAAAAAAATTTATTTTTGGTCTCTTGGAACAGGGTCTCCTTGTAGCCCCAGTTTGTCTGGAACTCTATGTAGACCAGGGTGGCCTTGCTCTCACTGAGATCTGCCTGCCTCTGCCTCCTGAGTGCTGGGGTTAAAGGTATGTACCACCACATCTGGTTTTAAGCATTTAAAAAAATTTTTATTTTATATGTATGAGTTTTCCCTGCATGTACATAAGTGCAGTATATATGTGCAATGTGAACAGAGGCCAGAAGAGGACTTTGGTTATCTCAGGACTGGAATAATGAGTGGGTTATTAACTGCCACGTGGGTGCTGGGAACCAAACCCAGGTCCTCTGCAAGAGCAGCTGGTGCTCTTAACCACTGAATCATCTCTCCAGCCCCAAAACATTGTATTTTGAGATGGTATCTTGTCATGTTGTCTAGGCTAGACCTGAACTGGGTTCAAGAGATTTCTACTGCCTCAGACGCACACACACACACACACACACACACCCCTTTTTTTTCCCTTCCCCTGGGCATTGCTGGAATAGAATCCAGGGCAGGCACTCTACCAAGTGAGCTACATCTCTAGTCCCTAGTCTCTTGTTTCTTTTTGAAGCCCTGGAAATAAATTTAAAGACCATTGATCTAGAGTTTTCTTTTTTTTTTTTTTTTTTTTTTTTTTTTTAAGCAGGGTCTCCCTGTAGCCCCAGCTGTCCTGGAACTCACTATGTAGACCAGGCTGGCCTTGAACTCACAGAGATCCGCCTGCCTCTGCCTCCCAAGTGCTGGGACTACAGGCGTGCGCCACCACGCTCGGCTCCTAGAGTTTTCTTTTTTTAAAAAATACTTACTTTTGTGTGTCTGTGTTTATACTCCCTCAAAACACAAATGGAGGTCAGGAGACAATTTGTGGGAGTCAGTTTTCACTTCACACCATCTGGGTTCTGGGACTCAAACTCAGGTCGGCAGGCTTGGTAGACGTGCCCTCTTGGACTGCAGTTGCAGTCCCGTGCCCAGCTCAGTGTTTTTCATGTTTCCTTTCGCTAGTTTCTAGTTGTAATTTGTGAATGTAGTTGTTTTGGATTTTTTTTTTTTTTTTTCCCCCCTTAGACAGGATCTTCCTGTAGCCCCAGCTGGCCTGAAACTCACTATGTAGACCAGGCTGGCCTTGAACTCACAGAGATCCTCCTGCCTCTGCCTCCCAAGTGCTGGGACTAAAGGTGTTCGCCACCACACCTGGATCAAAACTTGAAGTCTTGATCCTCTTTGCCTCCCAAATATTGGGATTATAGGCATGAGCTGTTTTATGCTTTTACTGTAGCATTTTACTCAAAGCCCAATACATTGTTTATTACATATTTTGTGTGCCTGTGTATGTGTGCACATGTGTGGAGGTCAGAGGACTATCTGGTTCCCAAGGACTGAACTTCGGTCGTCTGGTTGGTGGCAGGTTCCTTTACTTGCTGAACCATCTAGCTTGCCAAAAGTCACTTTTTTTTTTTTTTTTTTTTTTTTTGAGACAGGGTCTCCCTGGAACTCACTGTGTAGGTCAGGCTGACCTTGAACTCGTGGAGATCCACCTGCCTCTGCCTTCCAAGTGTTGGGATTAAAAGTGTGCACCATCATGCCCGGCTCAAAGTTCAATTTTTAGGGTACCAGTTACCATCTTAGTAATACCTGACATTTACTGTTTCTTTGCTGTTAGTCCAGTGTTTCAGTGTATACTCATTTAATCCTGAAAACAACACAGATTGACAGAATTGTTTTTAAAAAAACTTCTGACCCTGAAATATTGTCTAGAGCTTAAGTAATTTGCCCAAGATCTTGCACCGGAGGCAGCAGAAAGTAGAGTTGGGATTTTAACCTGAGCAGCCTGTCCCTGGAAACCATGCTTTTGGCTAGTACTTCACATTTTTTGGCTTCCAATATCCCAGACTTAAAAATTTCTTGTTTAACTTTTCTATTTCAATTAAATTAATTCTATCTTCAACTATTCAGCCGCTAGCCTACCCTCCTTCCCGCAGAACACACTCTCCCTGTTCATTTTCCATCGTTCCTTTTCGTCATGAATGGTGTCCCTAATCCTCACAGGTACCATACCAGAGAAGTCTAGCTAGCAGCTCCTTTCCTGTGTATTCTCATTCTGAGTTTACTGATTCTAACAATCTTTTCTTCAGTAAATATATTTGAGTGCTTCTTTGTGCTAGGTGTGGACATATAATTGTGAAACAGTGACCTGGCCCTTCTGGAGCTTTTATTCTCGAAAGAAGATGCTTCAAATGGCAAATTAAGGAGACTGAGAAAGTAAAAGGTGATGGGAACTTGTATATAATGAGTTTTCAGATAATATTTAAGATTTGTGGAGCAGTTTCTATGTGCTGACAATTGTTTTTCAATAAAAGTTTGCTCACTTAATCTTTTTCTTTTCTGTCTTTGAGAAAGGGTCTCATGTATTTCAGACTGGCCTCAAACTCTAGGTATCCGAGGATGGCTTCTGATCCTCCTCCGTCCTCCTCTGCAGTGCTGGAATTACAGGAGTGTACAGGTTCATGTGCTGCTGGAAATCCAACCTAAAGCTTCATGCCTGCTAGGCAGGAACCCGGCCAACTGAGCTATACTTCCAGCCCTTCAAAAGGCCCCCCAAGCACACACCTTTTAGTTCTGAAGGATAGGACATGCCCAAGCACATTAAAACTGTATATTAAGAACATTGGAAGCAAATAGCATCAAGCAGACATAAAACAGGAAGCACTGTGGAAGGTGTGTGAGCTGTATTAAAATGACGGAAATACAGGCTCATCCTTAAATAAATTCTGAGTTTCAATTTTGGGAGCCAGTAGTCCTCTTTGCATATACGGTGAGTGCGGTGCAGCTGAAAGGAAGAGGCTGAGGACATTGCCTGGACTGCTGTGGAGACACCGCTGGCCTGGGAGACAATCTTGACCTACTCTGTGCTTTTCCATCACTACCCTTGCCTTGTTCTCGGGCTTACCCAGCTTGAATTCTCTAGGGTAATTGAAATTCTCTGTCTTCTGCCTGTCTTTTAAGTTCATACTCTATACTATAAATATAACTGTATTGGTAAAACAAGCTGCTCTTCATCTTAGAGAATAACCCCTCATGATCAGGTGGGTTTTTCTTTTTTTCCCTAGATAGGGTTTCTTGTGTCCGAGGCTGGCCCTACTTACTCACTGTGTAGTAGAGGATAACCTTGAATTTCTGATAGTGCTGGGATTATAAGCATGTACCGTTACCCCCGTGTGATGCTGGGGAGTGAACCCAGGGCCCAGGGCTTTGTGCATTCTGGGTAAGCACTCCTGAGCTACACTCTTTTCCTTGATTCGTCTTGTTTTCACCTCTATCCTTCTCACAGTATTTTGATGCACATCTTAGAACCATATAATTTTTTTTGGTCTTTTTGAGACAGGGTCTCCCTGTAGCCCCAGCTGTCCTGGAACTCACTATGTAGACCAGGCTGGCCTTGAACTCACAGAGCTCCTCCTGCCTCTGCCGGGATTAAAGGTGTGCACCACCACGCCTGGCCATCCTAGTTACTACTTTTAATATTAATTACGTATTGTAGCTGGGGCTGACCTTGAACTCCTGCCTCTACTTCCCAAGTGCTTGGGATTACCTGTGTCACCAGGCCTGGCTTTATGTGTCTGTTTTCATAGTACTCTTTAATGACTTACAGGCTTGGCTAGTTGTAATAGTTCCCTTACCTTTCACTCTCCTTCCAGTGAAGCTACTAAAGGCAATGATTAAATAGATTTAGGGATATTTGTAAAATGCCTGATCCTAAAAATGAGACTTCTAGTTGCTTCCTATTGTAATTGGTGACTTTGGTCACTTAGGAGACTTTAAGAAATAGATTCTGGCTGGGCGTGGTGGCACACGGCTTTAATCCCCGCACTGGGGAGGCAGAGGCAGGCGGATCTCTGTGAGTTCAAGGCCAGCCTGGTCTACATAAGTGAGTTCCAGGACAGCTGGGGCTACAGGGAGACCCTGTCTCAAAAAGACCAAAAAAAAAAAAAAAGAAAAAGAAACAGATTCTGGGTGTGGTGACACATACCTTTAGTCCCAGCAGAGGCAGGTGGAGCTCTATGAGTTGGAGGCCAACTTGGCTTCCCTAACAAATCCAGGCCAGCTGTGACCACAGGGAGACCCTATCAAAAAAAAGAAATTCTCAGAGTCCGTTCTTGGTTAGTGAGATGCAGTAGTCTTCAGTGGCATTTGTACTTTTAATATTTTTGTTAAATTTAGTTATATGTATGTGCATATTTTGTGGGCGTGCACCTGCAGCAGCTTACCAGTGTGTCCATGTAGAGGTCAGAGGACAACTTTTGGGAGTTGCTTCTCTGCTTCCACCCTGGAAACCCAGGGATCAGTTTCAGGTTGTCAGGCTTGGTGGCAAGTGCCTTTACCCAGAGTCTATATTTCTGCAGTGATGGGTGGTTGTGTTGTAACAACCCGGTATTTGGTGTCCATGTCTTCAGCCTCTTTCAACCTCCTTTCTCCTAATGGCATTTTAAGCTTTAACCAATGTATCACTCCCTTTTCTGCTGTTACAGTCACTTGCCCTTCACATATTTCTTGCACTTTTTTTTGAGATGGGGCTTCCTGTAGCCACAGCTAGCCTAGAGCTTGCTGTGTGGATGAGGCTGACCTGGATCTCATAGAGATCCACCTGCCTCTGCCTCTCAAGTTCTGGGATTAAAGGTGCCTTTTGGTTTGTTTTATTTGTACTTTTTTGTAGTTATTTTTAATTTCCTAACATATGAAGTCACTTGTTAACAGAAATGTCATGGTTTTGAATGTGATCCATCTTTTTGTTGGAGTAAAATAAAATATATTGCATTTGATTGCTTAGATAAAAATATTAAATGTCCATACTCTTGTTAATATTTAATGAATGCTTTATGTTAGGTTCATTTTAATTTGTACACCAATTCTATGTCATAGGTAACTTATTTCGCTGTACAGAAAAAGAAACATAGGTTACATTACAGCAATATCAGGAGCTGCTGAGTTGACATTAACTATTATACAGTACTATTTTAAAGTAATACTTGTATTCACTGGGACCATCTAAGTGATAAAAATTTCCAAATACGGCTGTAGAGCTGGGTAAGTGGTTGAGTGCATACTGTTTTTTCCCAGAGGACCCAAGTTGAGTTATGAGCATGCACTCACAACTACGTATAACTCCAGCTCCAGTGGATCCATTGCCTCTGGACCCCCACAGACACCCGGCACTCATGTGCACATAACTGCCCCCCCCACATACCTTTAATTAGGAAAAAGAATTTTAAGCAAATGATTTATGATTAAAGATTTAAAAGACAAGAGGGCAGGTGGCTAATAAAATTTTGGGCCATCTTTAAATCGACTGTAAAAAAAAATTAAGATTTTTGGTTAAGAAACTTTAAACACTAAAGTGGGCCATGACGGCGCACACCGATGCTTTATTCCTGTTACTTGGGAGGTGGAAGCAGGAGGATCTGAAGGAAGTTCAAGATCCTCAGGTCTGTAACAAATTGGAGGCTTGGGCAATAAGAGACACAGTCTCAAACAAAAATAAAAACAAATTTTTGAACTTTTTTGAGTAGGTAATATATTGTTTAAAATTACATCTTACAGTTACTGTCAGGATGAGGGGACAGAAGGTATAGTTCCACAGTACCCCCTCTGTAGCCTGAGTTCTAGACCTTTAGCGACTTTGACTGGCCATACCTGCCTTCATGCCTTTGATCTGGAAAAGAATTTCAAGACTAGCTGGTATAGTGAATCAGAGTTAGATTTTTTTAAAAAAATTTTATTTTGTGTGTATGAGTGTTATGCCTGCATGTATGTAAGTGCACCTGTGTTGTGCAGTGCCCATGGAGGATAGAAGAGGTGTTGGATCTCCTGCAATTGGAGTTACATACAGATGTTTGTTAGCCGCCATGTGGGTGCTGGGATTCGAACCTGGGTCCTCTGCAAGAGCAGACAGTGCTTTTAACTGCTGAGCCATCTCCAGCCCTGGAGATTTTATTGAAAATAATTTTAATATAGGCTTAAAAGGATTAAGAGAAAGAGAATGCATACCCAAGTGGGGATGTGCACTTCCCAAAGGAGAGTGGGGAGAAGTAAGACAAGGTGGGTTGCAGGCTCCTCCCTGTAGGGTCGCTGTGCCTTGTCTTAGAGTTAGTCATACGTACCATTTTGTTGGCTCTCAAGTTACATCTCAAAAGGCTGCTAAGAAAACTTTGGTGATTTTGCCCTTTTTCTCTCTTCTGGTGAGCTAGGTGAGGTGCCCCTGGAGATGTCTTGGATGGGGTTACAATCTGATAAGGTAAAGTTGCCCAAGAGATTGTCCTTGTCCTTTCTCTTATAAATGGTGTTTGGGGTAAGATTCCTAGACAGTTTCAGGTGTACGCCTGGGAAAGGTAATTTTGCTGCAATTTTTTTTCTGCTTGTGAGGGGCTTCTCTTCCTGCTCCTGTTCCTGACTTTGCACCCCGCCTTTTTCCCCTTTTGTTACAGTTATGAGCAGTTGTAAACAGTTTAAACTTCAGGCCTACTGCCATAGCTTAGTGGTAGACCATTTGCTTAGCACGTATGAAGCCTGAGTTTGATTCTCAGTAAGTAAAGATAGATAGACTGATGGATAAAAAATGAAGTTGCATGTGGCTTCAGTGTGGCAAGTAAAGCCCAGTTAGCCTGGCCTTAATTTAATTTTTTGAATTTAAAAATTTTATGTACTGCTTTATTAGTTCATGGCTTGCATTTAAGTCTTATCTTAAATTAGGGGTCATGGATTTTTAATCTTTGAAAAACTTTTAGCCATGTTTTGGTTCCATGTAACTCTAGGTCTTTTGGGGACTGGAGAGATGGCTCAGTGGTTAAGAGTGCTAATACTCTCATAGAAGACCTGGATTTGGTTTTCAGCACCAACAATGGTGGTTAGCAACTGTAACAGTGCCTGTAACAGTTTGAGAGGATCTGACACCCTCTTCTAAGACCTCTGAGCACTGTGTGCACATGTACACCCCCCCATACACGTAATTAAAAATAGTAAAAATAAATCTTTAAAGATGAAATAAAACTGTATAGATTGTCGAATTTCCAAAGATGTTCCAGTTCTCAGGGTTTCCAGGTTCCAAGCACATCTCTATCAGTTCTTTTTTATTTTTGAAGATTTACTATTATCCTATATGACTGTTGAGCCTCTTATGTGTGAATATGCACCATGTGCATGCAGTGCCTAGAGAGCCAGAAAAGGACATCAGATCCCATGGAACCGGAGTTAGCGGCAGTTGTTAGCCGTCATGTAGGTGCTGGGAACAGATGGCAGGTCCTCTGGAAGAGCAGTAAGTGTTCTTAACTGCTGAGCCATCTCTCCAACCCCAGTTCTCTTTCTTATGTTTATGTGTGGAGGGGACAACTGACCTTCCAAAAGGTATTCATCCTCTTCCTCTGATCTAGACATTTTTATTTTTTGTTTCTTTGAGATAAGGTCTTAGGTAGCTCAGATAGGCCTTAAATCTACTATGCAGCTGAGTGGCCTTTTGATCCTCGTTTTTTGTTTCTTTGAGATAAGGTCTTAGGTAGCTCAGATAGGCCTTAAATCTAACCCTAACCCTAACCCTAACCCTAACCCTAACCCTTCATATCTCAGGTGCTGGCTACCATGTCTTGTCTCCATGGAGATTTCTTTTTCTAAGATTCCAGGAATTGCTGGATTTGGTGGCACACACCTGTAATCCCAGCACTTGGAGAGGCAGAGGCAGGCGAATCTTAGTTTCAGGCCAGCTTGGTCTTCATAGCAAGTTCCATGCTAACCATGGCTACATAGTGAGATCCTGTCAAAAAAAAGAGGGTTGGGGGCGGGGGCTGGAGAAGTGGGTCAGGGGTTAAGAGCACTTGCTGTTCTTTCAGAGGCCCCAGGTTCAATTCCAGTACCTACATAGCAACTCTTATCAACCCCTTCTGGCCTTGGTGGACACTGCACACATACCAGTAAACATACTGGCAGTCAAATCACTCATCCAAATAAAAATAAATCACTAAATATTTTTTAAAGAATATTCCAAGGATCCTTAACTTTATTTCCTGTTTGTCTCTTATTGATTGTCTGTGGTGGGGGTGTGTTCATGCCACAGTGCCCATATGGGGATCAGAGGACAATTTGGGATTAAAAGTGTATGTTTCCATGCCTAGGTTTATTTTTAGCCTTTCTTCCCTTTTGGGGTGTGGGTGCGTGCATGTGAGCTTTTGTGCATGCAAGCTTATGTGTCGATCAGAGAACAACCTCAGATATTAGTTCTTGGAACATTCCACCCTTTGTTTGAGACAAGGTCTGGCCACTTTAGTCTGAAATTTTGCTACCTTTAGGCCAGGTGAGAACTTTGAAGAAGGCCAAAGGACATGGGATAGCCTGTCCTCACACTTTCCATCTTGTTCCCTGGAGACAGGTGTCACTGCACCAGAGTCTGGCTGGTTTTTTTTCTAGTTTGAATGGACAGCCAGCTCCCAGGATCTGCCTGCCTCCTCCCCACCCCCCAGTGTTGGAGTTATGGGCCCAGGAAGCCATGCCTGGCTTTTTAAAAAAAAAAACATGGGTGCTGGGGATTCAGACTGCATCCTCATGCTTGTGTAGCAAGTGTTCTTTCTTGGCCATTGAGCCATCTCTCCAGCCCCTTAACTATTTAAGTGCACACTTTAGTGATTGGTGCTTTGTTTAGTCATCTTCCTGTGCAACTTCCACCCTCATGTATCTTCAGAACTCTTTTGTCTTGCAAAACTGAAACTGTACCCATTAAATAATAACTTAGTTTTTCTCCATCTCTTAGTTCCTGTCGTCCACCATTCTGTTGCAGTCTTAAGATTTTGACTACTCTGGGTAACTCACATACATGAGCTTCTATTTGTTTAGGGCTAGAGAGATGACCTCTGGGGCAAGAGGGCATACTTCCAGAGGACCCAGGTTCAGTTCTCAGCACGTATATCAGTGGCTCACAGTCACCATTACCTCCAGTTTGAGGGGACCCAACACCCTCTTCTTGCTCCTGTAGCATGTGTGCACACATATGCACATACCCACACAGAGACACATACATGTATAATTTTAAAAACCAATAAAATCTTCGAAAAATACTCGTCTGTTTGCCACTACTTCGCTTAGCTTAGTGTCCTCAAGATTGGCTCACACACACAATGTATGTGTTATGATTTCCTTTTTTTTGGTTTGTTTTTGTTTTTTGAGACAGGGTCTCCCTGTAGCCCCAGTTGTCCTGGAACTCAGTATGTAGACCAGGCTGGCCTTGAACTCACAGAGATCCGCCTGCCTCTGCCTCCTGAGTGCTGGGACTAAAGGTGTGCACCACCACATCTGGCATAATTTCCTTTTTAAGGCTGAATGCTATTCCACTTAAAATTTTATTTATTTTTATTTTATATGTATGAGTGTTGTGCCTGAATGGATGTAAGTGTATCCCTGTCGTGTAGTGCCCTTGGAGGATGGAAGAGGGTTGTCGTATCTCCTGGACCTGGAGTTACAAATGGTTGGTTGTTAGCCTCCATGTGGGTGGTGGGATTCAAACCTGGTTCTTCTGCAAGAACAGCCAGTGTTCTTAACCACTTAGCCATCTCTCCAGTTCTGCTAGTCCTTTTTTTTTTGTCAGCTGACCTGGAACTCACTATGTAGACCAGGCTGGCCTTGAGCTCGCAGAGATCCACCTGCCTCTGCCTCCCGAGTGCTGGGACTACAGGCGTGCACCACCACGCCCGGCCTCTGCTAATCCATATTTTATGTACATTTTTTTGGTCTGTTCATCTGTTAGGCATTGGGATTGCTTCTGTGTTTTAACTATCAATAATACTGCTGTAAACATGGGTATCCATACATCTCCTTGAGATTCAGCTTTCAATTATTTTGGTATAAGTAATTTTTATTTGATTATGAAATGAGTAAATTTAATGCTTAGGAGATTCTTCCCTTTTCATTTACTAGGTGCTCTTCTCAAAATCTGAGTTCAGCTTATTCAGTTGTTTTACTTTTAGTAATTTACTGGTGATTTTTGGTTTTGTCCTGTTTTGTTTTGAGGCAGGGTCTGAACACTACCACCCAGCCTAGCTTGGATCAGGTAATGACCTTGCTCTAATCTCTAGTGCCACACCTGGCAAAATACATCTCTTGATCTTAAAAAAAAAAATACTAGGGCCAGGTGAGGTGGTGCACATTTTTAATCCCAGCACTGGGGAGGCAGAGGCAGGCAGATCTCTGCGATGAAGGCCAGCCTGGTCTACATAGTGAGTTCCAGGCCAGCTGGGGCTACAGAGAGACCCTGTCTCAAAACTGACGATGACAACAACAACAAAGTAGGTATTGAACCTAGGACCTGGCTCTTTATTGAATCAGAATTACTGTGTAACCTAAACCAGCTTAGAACTCCATATGTAGTCCAGGCTACCCTGAATCTTACTACTTGTAGCCAAGGCTAGCCTGGAACTCAAGGCAATCCTCCTGCTTCAGCCTCTTAAGCGCTGGGATTACAGGTGTGAGCCACCATGCTTGGCTTACATTTTTTTTTTTGATTCTTGTTTTCTTAGTAGTTGTCTTGGAGATTGCACTAATACTTTAATTTATAGAAGTCTATACAAATTTGATTAATTATATGTTTTTATTTTTTAAGATTTTATTTTTTTTTATGTGTATGAGTATATTGCCTGCATGTGTGTAAGTGAACTTGTGCTGTGCAATGCCCGTGGAAGTCAGAAGGAGGCACCAGATCTCCTGGAACTGGAATTTCGGACCGTTGCTAGCCACCATGTGGGTGCAGGAATCAAACCTGGGTCCTCTGCAGGAGCAGTGTTCTTAACCACTGAGCCATCTCCAGCTCCATAAGATTTTTATAAAGCTTTATTTGCATCTTTGTTCTTTATGCTGTTATCCTAACAAATTACGTATATTCGTTGTATGGATTTCTAATTGCTGCTGCTGAAGTTATCTTTTAAATCAGGAAGAAAAACAGTTACCCTAACCTTCTTTTAGCTTTGTATTTTGAGATGGAGGGTCTCACTAAGTTGCCCAGGCTGGTCTTGAATGTAACTTTATAGCATAGGGTGGTGGCCTTTAACTTCACTCTGTAGCCTAGGCTGGCCTCAAATTTGCCGTCATCCCCCTCCACCTTCCAAGTACCTGGATTACAGGCATACACCAATATACCCAACTCTCACCTTCATATTTGAAGAGTAGTGTTGGATATAGGCAGTCTTTTTTTAAAATTATTTGTGTGTGCATGATGTGATTGAGCACATCCTGCAGTGTGTTAGAGGAGAGCTGTGTGGAGTC